TATACCAGGCTGCAATTGTTTTTTGTGGAGCCGCAATTGGGGCGCTATCTCGGCCTGGTCTTGGCGCCGGTGCATGAACCGGGTGCACCGATGCGCACGAAATAGCTTGGCCGCCAAGTTCCGGGTGGGCACGTCCGCACGTGGCGGTCCTGAGCCAGCCACGGGCGCTGCCAGGTACGTGCGGGCACGAGGACGAACGGTTGCCATCGACACGCGAGCAGCCCGGCACGGTGGGCGCGAGGAAGCACAGCGCTCTCCACGTCGTCCTCGTCCCGTACGCACCGTTGCGATGCGGATGCATGCCAGGACGCCGCACGTAAGAGCAACTTAGCAGACCTCTTAAAATCCTAACCCGTAAAATACATTTACAGTTTGATGAAGATCTTGTTTGCAGGTTAAAAACGAGCGCGGCTGATCAGAAATTGTAGATAAAACTGCATAATTTGAAGAAAAAGGTTCCGCAGAAGAAATTGCACCATAGTAGTTCATCACATACTAAATATGTTTACATGATCAAATACTACAAACACTAGTTCAATCTACATACTATATCAGTACTAGCACTAGAGGGGGTGGGGATCTCACGATGATGAGCTCGGGGCCATGGACGACGCCGTGGAGGAGCTCAATCCTCCTCGCTGGAGCTGCCGAGGTCGATGTACTTCTTCCTCTGCTCCTCGCGGATGCGCCGCCACTCGTCGTCCTTCTCTTTGGCAGCGAGGTTGGCCGCGATCGCCTGCCGGAACACGAGGTCTTCGAGCTCCTCGTGGTGGAGCCAGCGCTCCGCGTCCTCGCGCATGCTCCACTTCCTCTTCACGGAGGGAAGGCCCGCGCTGGAAGAGGAGGACCTCCCGACGTAGGAAGATCTCGCCGCGGAGGACGAGCCTGCGCAGAGGACGGGGTATGGCCGTGCCTACAGTCGTACTCATCCGTCTCGCGGACGCGGAAGCTCGGCGATGGCGAGAGGCCGTGGTTGGTCCACTTCCTCGCCCCGCGCTTCCTCGCGCCGTCCGTCCGACCGAACGCGCCACTCGCGCTCGGAGTCTCTGACGCCGTCGGATCTGCTCCCGGAGCCGCGTCCGGAGGTCCACATGCGACCCCACATGGCGGCCGGAGGCGGAAGGGGCTCGCCGACGGCGAGAAATGTGGGGAAGGGAGTGAGGAATTGCGTAGCTCGGCGGCGACGGAGGATAGGGTTTCGACCCGCAAACGCATCACGAACCCGTAGATATATTGGTCGGGGCGTGCGGTTTGTGGGCTGCGGCAAATACTTTTACGGGCCTGGCGAGTATACGGACTCTGATCTGGCCAAAAAATTAAACCGAACTTGTATACTTATCGAAATTTTATGGATTTATGATTTTTGTGGGGTCTACTAGACTTGCTCTAACTCCAAGGCTGGTTGCCCGAGAAATGCAAAATCCAGTACCAAATAATTGAGACCGATGGAAAGACATTTCAGCAGAATCGAATCAAGGACTGAGACGCGTACATCATCGTGTCAGGATTGTATTTCGTACACAGGCAGTACATAGTTTTTCTCGGGATTTGCTTTTCGGGGTACGTACTACGTACTATTGCATGGAAATCCCGCTCTGGTTAGATGCAAGTGGAGGAGTAGGGTGTTTTGGTGTTTAAAAAAATCATAAAAAATTCAAAAAACTTAATCAATTCTAAATTCTATTTTTGCAGTAGACAATTTGATGCGTAAGGTCCGCTTTAAATTTCAAGTCATTTGGACATCTGAGCAGCTCTCAGCAAAAAAGATAAATCGGCCCAAAACAGTACTTGAATAGTAAACTTTTTTACAAAATCTTAATTTGTTTTTTTAATGAGAGATGCTCAGATATTCAGATGACTTGATATATGAAGCGTGCCTCACTCATCGAATTCTTTACCTAAAAAATGATTTTTTTTGGTATTTATTTTAATTTTTTCATCAGTGCGGGTGCAGATGAGTTCGGATACAAAGATGGATTTTCGCAAGTGGAGTGACTAATCCCGGGCAATTTCTTCTAGAAGGCCTCCACATGCTTTTAAATAAAAACAAAAAGGTACAGGACATCCAAAAGGATAATAAAACTGACTGGTTGGAATCTCTTCGGGACCAGACAGCAGGATATAGCAGCGAGCAGTACCGCGTCGCAGATATTTTTCACGCTTATGTTTTACTGGAGCAATATTTTAAGATTGCTCTCGTCCAAGTAGTACTCTATCTCTGGAGTATACTTATGATTTACCTGAGTACATTTTATAAACAGTCCTGTCCTTAATAATAGAAAACCTTTGGAGAATACGCTTACACTCTGTCTCTAAGAGCATTTTCAACAGTGGCTGTAAAAAACACTCTGCACAGGAAGAAGCACCGTACTGGTATATCTAGTTTATCCAAACGAAGTGTTGCAGGCTCGGCTCATAATTCGCAGGTTTATACAAAGGCAATTTTTGTACTCTTTTTAATAAATTATTACGGCACACTTCAAAATTGGCGGGTCAAGATAATTTCATTTTGTCTGGCTAGTTTTTTTGTCAATCTATTTGTTTGTTTTGACAATCTGTTTTCTGCTGCGTACTTTTGTTTCTCCAGTATATTAGTATAAAACAAATCTGGCACAACACAATTCAACAATTGTGAACTAGAAGTAAAACTTATACGTTCTATTCAGGGTGGTTTCCACATGAACAATGTGGAGGTGCTCTACGCAGCTCAAAGAAACATAAGTGTTTTCCAGATAAACGGGGTTGTTGGATCAAAACGATATGTTTAACCTTTCTGTGAAAAGTAGTAGCATGCGTGAGATCAATCAGTGGTGGAGAACAAGACAAATGCTTATTACAAAATTAAGCAGCCATCTAATACGGCATTGGGGATAGGTTTGACATGGATGTCACCTTCACATGCAACAGATTAATCCATGGGTGCGGTTTGTAGACCAATGGTACTGCCCATGTGTTAGCATCGGTTGGTAAGGACAGGGTTGTGTGAGGACCTATTGCATGACTTTATCCCTCTCTGACTTGTGAATGTCTATAGTATTCCTTAAATTAATACAATTATCTCTCTACGGCAGTAAAAATTATAGACCAAATACATATTAGGTTCACATGGTGGGTTCGTCTTAATTTTCACTCGTCCTCGTGAGAGAATGCCCCTTTTATAAATTTGGATAGATCAACACGGCAACAAACTTAGCGGGGAAGGAAGATCATCGCATGCCTCTTAATTATCGTCTAATACTATTGGGAGGTTAGTAACTTCGTGAATCTTTGAATTAAGAGGA